TAAATTGAAGCTTAAAGATTCTAGATTATGATGTGATATAAAAATTATATGATAAGGTTATTGAAATTTCCAGGAAAAAATTGTTAAAAAAGAAATTGTCAAATTTTTTATCAAAATAAGGAATTTTCAAAAAATCATATCGTCTGTGTTTTTAATGGTAATGATATGATATGTATGTTAAATTGAAGTTTAAAGATCCTATTTGATAATGTGATATAAAATGTGTAAGATGATATTATTGAAATTTCTAAAAAAATGGTATAATTTAGAATAATCAAAAATTATTAAAATTTCAAAAAATCATATCTACCGTATTTTTAATGATAATAATATGATATGTATGTTAAATTGAAGCTTAAAGATTCTAATTTATAGTGTGATATAAAACTATATCATAATATTCCACGAAACAATTATTAAAGAGGAAATTTTCAAATTATAAATAAAAATAATACAAAATTTTCAAAAAATCATATTTGCCGTGTTTTTAATGATAATGATATGATATGTATGTTAAATTGAAGTTTCAAGATCTTATTTTATGATGTGATATGAAAACTATAAGATCATATTATTGAAATTTCCAGAAAAAAGTAATTAAAGAAGATTAAATTGTATAATTGTTGTGTTTTTAATGATATGATATGTATGTTAAATTGGAGCTTAAAGATTCTAGATTATGATGTGATATAAAAATTATATGATAATATTATTGAAATTTCTAAGAAAAAATTATTAAAGAAGAAATTGTCAAATTAATAAATTTAAAATAATACGAAATTTTCAAAAAATCATATTTGCCGTGTTTTTAATGATAATGATATGATATGTATGTTAAATTGAAGCTTAAAGATTCTAGATTATGATGTGATATAAAAATTATATGATAATATTATTGAAATTTCTAAGAAAAAATTATTAAAGAAGAAATTGTCAAATTAATAAATTTAAAATAATACGAAATTTTCAAAAAATCATATTTGCCGTGTTTTTAATGATAATGATATGATATGTATGTTAAATTGAAGCTTAAAGATTCTAGATTATGATGTGATATAAAAATTATATGATAATATTATTGCAATTTCTAAGAAAAAATTATTAGAGAAGAAATTGTCAAATTAATAAATTTAAAATAATACGAATTTTTCAAAAAATCATATTTGCCGTGTTTTTAATCATAATGATATGATATGTATGTTAAAGTGAAGCTTCAAGATCCTATTTTATGATGTGATATGAAAACTATAAGATCATATTATTGAAATTTCCAAAAAGAAGTAATTAAAGATGATTAAATTGTATAATTGTTGTGTTTTTAATGATAATGATATGATATGTATGTTAAATTGAAGCTTAAAGATTCTAGATTATGATGTGATATAAAAATTATATGATAATATTATTGAAATTTCTAAGAAAAAATTATTAAAGAAGAAATTGTCAAATTAATAAATTTAAAATAATACGAAATTTACAAAAAATCATATTTGCCATGTTTTTAATGATAATGATATGATATGTATGTTAAATTGAAGCTTAAAGATTCTAATTTATAGTGTGATATAAAAACTTTATCATAATATTTTTGAAATTTCCACGAAAAAATTATTAAAGGGGAAATTTCCAAATTGTAAATAAAAATAATACCAAATTTTCAAAAAATCATATATGCCGTGTTTTTAATGATAATGATATGATATGTATGTCAAATTGAAGCTTCAAGATCCTATTTTATGATGTGATATGAAAACTATAAGATCATATTATTGAAACTTTCAGAAAAAAATAATTAAAGAAGAAATTGTTTAATTTATAAATGAAAAATAAATAAAAATTTCAAAAATCAAATCGGCGGTGTTTTTAATAATAATGATATGATATGTATGTTAAATTGAGGCTTAAAGATTCTAGATTATGATGTGATATAATTAATGATATAATTGGTGATATAATTATATGATAGCGTTATTGAAATTTCAAGGAAAAAAATGTTAATGAAGAAATTGTCAAATTTATTAATCGAAATACGGAATTTTCAAAAAATCATATAGTCCGTGTTTTTAATGATAATGATATGATATGTATGTTAAATTGAAGTTTAAAGATTCTAGATTATGATGTGATATAAAAATTATATGATAATATTATTGAAATTTCCAGGAAAAAATTGTTAATGAAGAAATTGTCAAATTTTTTAATCAATATACAGAATTTTCAAAAAATCATATTGTCCGTGTTTTTAATGATAATGATATATGTATGTTAAATTGAAGCTTAAAGGTCCTATTTGATGATGTGATGTAAAAATTAAGATAATATTATTGAAATTTTCAAAAAAATTGTATAATTTAGAAAAATTAAAAATTAGAAAATTTCAAAAAATCATATCGGCCGTTTTTTTAATGATGATATGCAAAGCATAAAACAAAAAACAAATAATATATATTATTTACCTCCAAAGAATTCCTCATCCTGTTTATAATCGCATCTTTTTTAACACAATGAAGATTATAACCAATCACAGATTCCTCCATTGATTTATCCATTTGCTCCTCAAGCCATTCAACGACGGTTTGGTTGTTATCCCATAAATACCCCTTAATTAAATTAAACAAAAATCATTAATTAATTAAAAACAATTTCAAATTAATTTACCTCCGCGGTTCCTTTCGTCTCAACAAACCACCGTCTCAACATCGCTTCAGTTTGTCCCACTCCCAAATTAGGTTGCGCTTCCAACAAACTCGAAATAACTTGATCTTGCAATATTAACCTTTTTAATCTCCAATATAAAACCCTCCGCGAATTCTTCCAAGTTAAAATATCTAAAATTGTTCCTTTTTCGTGCATTCTTTCTGGGGTATCGTGTAAATCGGCGAAATGAACCGCGACTTGGTGGTACATCGGCATTAATAACGCCTCGCGATTCGCGATTTTTGTTTCTAACTCAATCACTTCGGGGGTTTTAGCGATTTCTTGAGTTTGCGCCGCTGATAAGCTATTTTTTCTTTCGAAGGAAGATGTAATGTGGTTATGATTCGATTGGATTTTGATGGTTTCTAGCCAATCTTTGATTAACGGGTCGATTCGGTGGATCGCTTTGATTAAATCTTTTTTGCGGTATTTGATTTCGACGATTCCTTCTGGTTCTAAAACCCCACCTCGTGCGTCAGCGTCGGCGTACATCTCCATGTAACGGGGGTTTATCGTGGGGTCAACGACCGCCCAAGCTCCACCGCGGAGCTCCCCGTGGGGTGGGATGTAAATTATGATGGGTTTTGTGTATTTGCGTAACCCATCGACTATGTAAGCGCCGAATTTCATGATTTGTTCGTACATGTCTTTCATTCCCCCGCTAAATCCGCGCCAATTCGCGAATATTATTAAGGGGAGGTCTTCGCGGGAGAAATCTTGGATTGCTTGGGCCGTTTTGTAGGCGGAATCTGGGAACCAAACTTGACCGGCTTGGGAAATTTTTTTCGCCTCAGAGTCTAAATTCGCAGGATCCGCTGGGAGATGCACCTCAACGGTTCTTGTTTCAACAGCGATAACCCCAACGGGGATTCCCCCCAATCTCGCTCTCCCCGTTACAACAGTTTGTGCCCACGGTTGCATAATTTCCTGCCACGAATCTTTATCAAATAACCCATCCTCCCAAACGTTTGGATCACTCAAAGATTGTCTCCCAGCTAACATCCATCGAGGATCATACGGAGCTTTCGTAGGGGTGTAAAAAACATCGCGATCAACGGGATCAATCGGAGCCAAAATCGGTAAAGGTGAAAATTTATCTTTAGGAATATAAGATAACCACTTTAAAATGGTATAAATCCCGTCTAAATCGGTTTGTTCCGTTTTGTGGGAAACCCCGTTATTATACATGATTTGGGTCCCCCCTAATTGATTGTTTGAGGCGTAAACTTCCCTCCCCAACAACTTATTTAACGCGCTATACCCCGTTAAAATAATATGCGAATTCTCAATTTGAATGATCCTTTGTCCTAATCGCACCAAGTACGATCCAATCCCAATCGCGCGACACGTCACCATCGAAATCGTAACAACCTCATCGTAAGCTTTTGAAGTTTCCCCGGCTATCATCCCGGCGTAGCGCAAATTCTCCACGCCTAATCCATCGTCTTTTCCGATAATATCGGTTAATTTATAACGCGATTCGCCGTCTTCTTCGATTAAAACCGCGCGAACTGAGTTTTGGGCTTTCGCGTAATCCTCGGGGGTTAAATATAGGTATCGGAATCCTCGATCGGGTTCTGTTGGGTGTTCCCACGCGACTTTGTAAAGTCCTTTAACCTCTTCTGCTAATCCGATTCTCGCGCCGCTATTTGCTGCGACGTATATTCTTGGGATTTTTAATTCGCGCGCGATTTCGCTCGCTAACCCGAATACTTTGTCTTCTTTTGGACCAAACGAGCCGATTAAAAAAGTTATATCGTTGGCGATTACGATTATATCGCGTCCGTTTGGATACTCAGGAGTGTATAGAGTTAATCTCCACGCGACCATGCCGACGTTATTTTCGCCGGGGACGCGTTTTTGCTCGATTAGGCGAGTTTCCGTTTCGGCGTCGAGGACTAATTCGACGAAATCCATGAAAGTTTCGGGTGGTTTTATTTCTTCTGTTAAAAAAAAATTTTTTTAAATTAATGATGTGTAAAAAAATAAAATTGATTTATTTACCGGATAATCTTTCCTTCATGTGTTGTTTCCACATCAAATCGACCATTTGTCGGAACATATCGGGGTAATCGTAGACGTAGGTGGTTCCGGCTGATTGTGCTTGGAATCGTTTTTGTTGGAGGTAATCTTTGGCGAGGTAAGGGGTTGTGATGGGTAAACCGTGCATTGGGCCTTGTTGTGTGCCATAAGCTTGGAAACGAATCTGATGAAAAAGAATAATAAGATTTAAAAAATATATATTTAAGAAATCTATCGACCATTCATTTTATTCTTAACAGTATTGTTCTCTTGCACTTTTGCTCTTAGATGCGTCAATATGGAGAAAAATAGGAAAATATGAAAATGTGATGAATTTCGTTATTTTAAGTAGGTAATGGTAACACTTTGAAATCGGAGCATGCTATAAAAAAACTTTTAGAACAGAAGTTATAGCAAATTTTATTTTGAACAATATTGCTCTCTAGCACTTTTGCTCTAAGATGCACAGATATCGAGAAAAATAAGAAAATATGAAAATTTTATGAATTTCGTTGTTTTAAGTAGGTAATGGTAACACTTTGAAATCGGAGCATGCTATAAAAAAACTTTTAGAACAGAAGTTATAGCAAATTTTATTTTGAACAATATTGCTCTCTAGCACTTTTGCTCTAAGATGCACAGATATCGAGAAAAATAAGAAAATATGAAAATTTTATGAATTTCGTTGTTTTAAGTAGGTAATGGTAACACTTTGAAATCGGAGCATGCTATAAAAAAACTTTTAGAACAGAAGATATAGCAAATTTTATTTTAAACAATATTATGAAACACTTTGAAATCGGAGCATGCTATAAAAAAACTTTTAGAATAGAAGTTATAGGAAATTTTATTTTGAACAATATTGCTCTCTCGCATTTTTGCTCTAAGGTGCACAGATATCGAGAAAAATAGGAAAATATGAAAATTTTATGAATTTCGTTATTTTAAGTAGGTAATGGTAACACTCTGAAATCGGAGCATGCTATAAAAAAACTTTTAAAACAAAAGTTGTAGTAAATTTTATTTTTAATAATATTGCTCTCTAGCACTTTTGCTTTAAGATGCACAGGTATCGAGAAAAATAGGAAAATATGAAAATTTGATGAATTTCGTTGTTTTAAGTAAGTAATGGTAACACTTTGAAATCGGAGCATGCTATAAAAAAACTTTTAGAACAGAAGATATAGCAAATTTTATTTTAAACAATATTGCTCTCTAGCACTTTTGCTCTAAGATGCACAGATATCGAGAAAAATAGGAAAATATGAAAATTTTATGAATTTCGTTATTTTAAGTAGGTAATGGTAACACTCTGAAATCGGAGCATGCTATAAAAAAACTTTTAGAACAAAAGTTGTAGCAAATTTTATTCTTAACAATATTGCTCTCTAGCACTTTTGTTCTAAGATGCACAGATATCGAGAAAAATAAGAAAATATGAAAACTTTATAAATTTCGTTGTTTTAAGTAGGTAATGGTAACACTCTGAAATCGGAGCATGCTATAAAAAAGCTTTTAGAACAGAAATTGTAGCAAATTTTATTGTTAACAATATTGCACTCTAGCACTTTTGTTCTAAGATGCATAGATATCGAGAAAAATATGAAAATTTGATAAATTTCGNAGCACTTTTGCTCTAAGATGCACAGATATCGAGAAAAATAAGAAAATATGAAAATTTTATGAAAATCGTTGTTTTAAGTAGGTAATGGTAACACTTTAAAATCGGAGCATGTTATAAAAAAACTTCTAGAACAAAAGTTGTAGCAAAATTTATTCTTAACAATATTGCTCTCTTGCGCTTTTGCTCTTAGATGTGTCAATATCGAGAAAAATACGAAAACATGAAAATTTTATGAATTTCGTTGTTTTAAGTAAGTAATGGTAACACTCTGAAATCGGAACATGCTATAAAAAAACTTTTAGAACAGAAATTGTAGCAAATTTTATTGTTAACAATATTGCTCTCTAGCACTTTTGCTCTAAGATGCACATATATCAAGAAAAATAAGAAAATTTGAAAATTTTATGAATTTCGTTGTTTTAAGTAGGTAATGGTAACACTTTAAAATCGGAGCATGCTATAAAAAAACTGTTAGAACAGAAATTGTAGCAAATTTTATTGTTAACAATATTGCTCTCTTGCATTTTTGCTCTAAGTTGCACAGATATCGAGAAAAATATGAAAATTTGATGAATTTCGTTATTTTAAGTAGGTAATGGTAACACTTTGAAATCGGACCATGCTATAAAAAAACTTTTAGAACAGAAGTTATAGCAAATTTTATTCTTAACAATATTGCTCTCTAGCACTTTTGCTCTAAGATGCACAGATATCGAGAAAAATAAGAAAATATGAAAATTTTATGAAAATTGTTGTTTTAAGTAGGTAATGGTAACACTTTGAAATCGGTGCATGTTATAAAAAAACTTCTAGAACAAAAGTTGTAGCAAATTTTATTGTTAACAATATTGCTCTCTAGCACTTTTGCTCTAAGATGCATATATATCGAGAAAAATAAGAAAATTTGAAAATTTTATGAATTTCGTTGTTTTAAGTAGGTAATGGTAACACTTTAAAATCGGAGCATGCTATAAAAAAACTTTTAGAACAGAAATTGTAGCAAATTTTATTGTTAACAATATTGCTCTCTTGCACTTTTGCTCTAAGATGCATATATATCGAGAAAAATAAGAAAATTTGAAAATTTTATGAATTTCGTTGTTTTAAGTAGGTAATGGTAACACTCGGGAATTTTAGCATGTTACAAAAAAGCTGTTAGAACAAAAGTTAGAGCAAATTCTATTTCTAACAGTATTGCTCTCTTACATTTTTGCTCTAAGATGCATAGATATCGAGAAAAATAGGAAAATATGAAAATTTTATGAATTTCGTTGTTTAATGTAGGTAATGGTAACACTCGGGAATTGGAGCATGTTACAAAAAAGCTGTTAGAACAAAAGTTGGAGCAAATTCTATTTCTAACAATATTGCTCTCTTGCACTTTTCCTCTTAGATAGGTCAATACCGAGAAAAATCCAAAAATATAAAAATTTGATGAATTTGTTGCATTTTAAGATATTAAAGGTAACACTCGGGAATTGGAGCATGTTACAAAAAAGCTGTTAGAACAAAAGTTGGAGCAAATTCTATTTCTAACAATATTGCTCTCTTGCACTTTTGCTCTTAGATAGATCAATACTGAGAAAAATCCAAAAACATAGAAATCTGATGAATTTGTTGCATTTTAAGATATTAAAGGTAACACTCGGGAATTGGAGCATGTTACAAAAAAGCTGTTAGAACAAAAGTTGGAGCAAATTCTATTTCTAACAATATTGCTCTCTTGCACTTTTGCTCTTAGATAGGTCAATATCGAGAAAAAACCGAAAATATAGAAATTTGATGAATTTGTTGCTTTTTAAGATATTAAGGGTAAGACTTGGAAATTGGAGCATGTTACAAAAAAGCTGTTAGAACAAAAGTTAGAGCAAATGTTATTCTTAACAATACTGCTTTCTTGCACTTCAGCTCTTAGATACGTCAATATCGAGAAAAATCCGAAAATTTAGAAATTTGATGAATGTATTGCTTTTTCAAATTATTAAAGGTAACACTCTGGAAACGGACCATTCTAAGTGTAGTATTAGTTCAATAAAAATATACTACAATCTAGCACGAATAACAATTAAAACTAGAAACAACCCCAGAACTAGAAAGTTTCGGATTTAGCGGGGCGTCTTCAGACAGAAAAAATTTCTTGGCGAAATTTTATACCTACATTAAACATTAAAAATAACTACCCTGATTTTCAAATTGCTCTATATATTTTTCTTCACGTCATTGGATAGATTTTTTTTCTGAATTCATTGATGTACAGTACATCCATTTTGAATGTAATTTTAGCAGAGAAAAAAAAATTATAACACAAAATAAAATATGTCAGTTATAAGTGTGTTATTTATAACGTTATAAGTTATAAGTTGTTATAACTGTCACTGACAGTTATAAGTTATTTTTTATTGTTTTCCATGGAACACTACGTTATAACACAAGTGAGTTTAATGAATGACGAAAAAAAAGTATATACCGAACGTTTTGAAAATCAAAAGTTGACAATCGCTTGAAATTGAAGATAGCATTGGAAAAAATTTATTTGTAGCATGAAACATAGTATTCATCATACCATTTCATTTGATACCTGGCTCATGAAAATCGAACAGAGTTACACCTTGGGGCGCTTTTTGTGTGACACCCTGTATATGTATCCTCCAAAACTGACGATTTCGGGTTAATATCTCAACAAAACTAGCGCCTTGCCCGCTAGCGACCTCGACGATTTGAAGCAAAATCGTTCTTTATACAGGGTGCGTCAAATGTCTGGAATATAGCCAATAACTTCGCTTGCTAACGGATTTGATTGATGATGATGTTAATTGAGATAATAAGTATTATTAGTTTTAGAGTTGGGTTACTTAGAGATTTCAGAATTCAATTATTTATTGATTGAATTACTATACATACATATGTGATTCTGATCAATATATGTGGCCGTAAAATTATTAGTATATGTTTGAAATTCACACACACAGACGAGGTGGCCGAGTGGTTAAGGCGTTGGACTGCTAATCCAATGGGCTCTGCCCGCGTGGGTTCGAATCCCATCCTCGTCGATCAATATTTTAACATTTTTTTTTAATAAACCATTTACAATAAACCTATCTCTACTTGTAGTAGTAGTAGCAGCGCCACAAACGGTGATACAACTAAATTAGATCCAAGAGAAGTATAAGCAAATCTGCAGAAACATTTAGATGAAATTGAACGCTGAGCTAAAACGCGAACATAGATACAAAATAAAAATAAATATTATCGTTGTTATCAGTGTCCTTCAGTAGTAATTAATGGATTTCAATGCATAGATAAGAGATGGCAAAAAAATATTATAACTAAATTGTAAATCAATGCTAAATGCAATTAAATAAGAACACTTGCTTTTGACTGAAATAATTTTAAAGAATTTTACGGCATTTTCCAAGGGGTGCCTAAAGAATTAATCACCGGAATAGATTGAAAATGAATCTAAATTTACAAAGATTACAAAAATTTACAAAAATTTATTGCAAATTTATGCCAATATTCAAGGATTTCCAAGGACTTCTTACGATTTCTAAAGATTTCAGGAATTTACATGGAATGCATCTGCATTTAGAAAGATTTTGGACCATTTTTCAAAAATTTCTAATAAATTTCAAAGCTTCCCATGAAAATTCGAAGAATTTTCAAGTATGTTGGAAGATTTCCAAAAAGTGTTAAAAGGTTTCTGGAATTTATTGGAGATAAATGTAAGTTTTTAAAGATTTCCGCAATATTTCCTAGTATATGTAGTCACTTTATTGCAAAATTTATGCCAATATGCAAGGATATCCAAGGACTTCTTACGGCTTTTAAGGATTTCTGGAATTTACTTGAAATGCATCTGGATTTACAAAGATTTTGGATTATTATCTAGAAATTTGAGAGAATTTCCAATAAATTTCCAAGCTTTCCATAAATCTTTGGAAGATTTGAAAGTTTTTGAGGATTTCCGCAATATTTTCAAGTATATTTCAAAAATTTATTGCAGATTTATGCCTATAATCAAGGATTTCTAAGAACTTACGGTTTTTAACGATTTCAAGAGTTTATTTAGAACGCATCTGGATTTTCAAAGATTTTGGACTATTCTTCACAAGTTTTCTAATCAATTTCCAAGTTTTCCATGAACATTTAAAAAATTTTCCAGCATTGTTGGAAGATTATCAAGAAGTGTTAAAAAGTTTCTAAGATGTATTGGAGAAGGATCTAAGATTTTAAGAATTTCCACAACATTTCCAAGTATATATAGAAAATAGATTGGAAATTTATGCCGATATTCATTAATTTCCAAGAACCTCTTACGGGTTGAAAAGTTAACTTGGAATGCATCTTCATTTTTACTATTTTCCGGAAATTTCAAAAGGTTTTTAATAAATTTTCCAGCTTTCCATGAAAATTTGAAAGTTTGCAGGATGTGCGCAGTATTTTCATATATATTCAGAAAATGTATAGCAGATTTATGCCAATAATCAAGGATTTCTAAGAACTTAAGGGTTTTTAACGATTTCAGGAGTTTATTTAGAACGCATCTGGATTTTCAAAGATTTTGGACTATCTTTCACAAGTTTTCTAATTAATTTCCAAGCTTTCCACGAACATTTAAAGAATTTTCAAGTATGTTGGAAGATTTTCAAGAACCGTTAAAAGGTTTCTGGAAAGTATTAGAGATCGATCTAAGATTTTAAGAATTTTTGCAACATTTCCAAGTGTATATGGAAAATAGATTGGAAATTTATACCGATATTCAATAATTTCCAAGAACCCCTTACGGCTTGAGAAGTTAACTTGGAATGTATCTTCATGTTTACTATTTTCCGGAAATTTCAGATGGTATCTAATAAATTTTCCAGCTATCCATAAAAATTTGGAGAATTTGAAAGGTTTGAAGGATTACTGCAGTATTTTCAAGTACATTTAGAAAATGTATAGCAGATTTATGCCAATAATCAAGGATTTCTAAGAACTTACGGTTTTTAACGATTTCAAGAGTTTATTTAGAACGCATCTGGATTTTCAAAGATTTTGGACTATTCTTCACAAGTTTTCTAATCAATTTCCAAGTTTTCCATGAACATTTAAAAAATTTTCCAGCATTGTTGGAAGATTATCAAGAAGTGTTAAAAAGTTTCTAAGATGTATTGGAGAAGGATCTAAGATTTTAAGAATTTCCACAACATTTCCAAGTATATATAGAAAATAGATTGGAAATTTATGCCGATATTCATTAATTTCCAAGAACCTCTTACGGGTTGAAAAGTTAACTTGGAATGCATCTTCATTTTTACTATTTTCCGGAAATTTCAAAAGGTTTTTAATAAATTTTCCAGCTTTCCATGAAAATTTGAAAGTTTGCAGGATGTGCGCAATATTTTCATGTATATTCAGAAAATGTATAGCAGATTTATGCCAATAATCAAGGATTTCTAAGAACTTAAGGGTTTTTAACGATTTCAGGAGTTTATTTAGAACGCATCTGGATTTACAAAGATTTTGAATTATTAACCAGAAATTTCAGAGAGTTTCTAATAAATTTCCAAGTTTTCCATGAAAATTTGAAAATTTTTAGGGTTTCCCTACTATTTTCAAGTATATTTAGAAAATTTATAGTAGATTTATGCCAATAATCAAGGATTCTAAGAACTTCTTAAGGTTTTAAGGATTTCAGGAGTTTATTTAGAGCTCATTTGGATTTACAAAGACTTTGGACTATTTTTCAGAAGTTTTCTAATTAATTTCCAACCTTTGCAAGAACATTAAAAAAATTTGGAAGATTTGGAGTGTTGGAAAATTTCCAAGAAGTGTGAAAAGGTTTCTGGAATTTATTAGAGATGGATCTAGGTTTTTAAAGTTTTCTGCAATATTTCCAAGTATATGTAGAAGATTTATTGCAGATTTATGCTAATAATCAAGGATTTTTAAGAACTTCTTAAGATTTTCAAGGATTCCAGGAGTTTATTTAGTACGCATCTCGATGTTCAAAGACTTTGGACAATTTTTCAGAAGTTTTAGAAGTTTTCTCATTAATTTCCAACTTTTGCATTAAAATTAATAAAATTTTCAAGAGTGTTGCCAGATTTCCAAGACGTGTGAAAAGATTTTTGAAATTTATTGGAATGAATCTAGGTTTCTAAAGATTTCCGCAATATTTCCAAGCATAGGCAGAAAATTTATTGCAAATTTATACCCATAATCAAGGATTTCTAAGAACTTCTTAAGGTTTTTAAGGATTTCAGGAGTTTATTGAGAACGCATCTGGATTTTCAAAGATTTTGGACAATTTTTCAGTAGTTTTAGAAGTTTCCTAATTAATTTTCAACCTTTGCATGAATATTAAAAAAATTTTTTCAAGTGCGTTAAAAGGTTTCTGGAATGTATTAGAGATAGATTTAAGATTTTAATAATGCAAAAGGTTTTCTAGTCATTTTAGACGGTTCCTAGAAATTTCAGAAAGTTTTCAGACTTTTTAGAAAGTTTACAGAAATTTCTAGAAGTGAATTCAGAAGATTTCTGGAATCTTTAGAAGTTTTCCAGGCATTTCAGGAAGTTTCTAAACATTTTGGAAGGTTCACAGAAATGATTATAAGAGGTTTCTAGATATTTCCTGACAATTTTATATTATATACAGGGTGTCAGATAAAAAACGCCGTAAGCTGTAACTCTTTCAGTTAAATTATGATTTTCAGAAATTTCAGAAAGTTACCAGATATAATTACAGAAGGTTTCTAGACATTTCAGGTTTCCAGAAATAATTGCAAAAGGTTTTCTAGTCATTTCAGACGGTTCCTAGAAATTTCAGAAAGTTTTCAGACTTTTTAGAAGGTTTACAGAAATTTCTAGAAGTGAATTCAGAAGATTTCTGGAATCTTTAGAAGTTTTCCAGACATTTCAGGAAGTTTCTAAACATTTTAGAAGGTTTACAGAAATGATTATAAGAGGTTTCTAGATATTTCCTGACAATTTTATATTATATACAGGGTGTCAGATAAAAAACGCCGTAAGCTGTAACTCTGTCAGTTAAATTATGATTTTCAGAAATTTCAGAAAGTTACCAGATATAATTACAGAAGGTTTCTAGACATTTCAGGTTTCCAGAAATAATTGCAAAAGGTTTTCTAGTCATTTCAGAAGGTTCCTAGAAATTTCAGAAAGTTTTCAGACTTTTTAGAAGGTTTACAGAAATTTCTAGAAGTGAATTCAGAAGATTTCTGGAATCTTTAGAAGTTTTCCAGACATTTCAGGAAGTTTCTAAACATTTTAGAAGGTTTACAGAAATGATTATAAGAGGTTTCTAGATATTTCCTGACAATGTTATATTATATACAGGGTGTTAGATAAAAAACGCCCTAAGCTGTAACTCTGTCATTTACATTATGATTTTCAGTAAGTTACCAGATATAATTACAGAAGGTTTCTAGATATTTCAGGTTTCCAGAAATATATACAAAAGGTTTAGAAAGCTTTCAGACTTTTTAGAAGGTTTACAGAAATTTTCAGAAGTGATTTCAAAAGATTTCTGGAAACTTCAGAAGGTTTCTAGACATTTCAGGAAGTTTCTAAACATTTTAGAAGATTTACAGAAATGATTATAAGAGGTTTCTAGATATTTCCTGACAATTTTATATTATATACAGGGTGTTAGATAAAAAACGCCCTAAGCTGTAACTCTGTCATTTACATTATGATTTTCAGAAAGTTACCAGATATAATTACAGAAGGTTTCTAGACATTTCAGGTTTCCAGAAATATATACAAAAGGTTTAGAATGTTTTCAGACTTTTTAGAAGGTTTACAGAAATTTTCAGAAGTGATTTCAAAAGATTTCTGGAAACTTCAAAAGGTTTCCAGACATTTCAGGAAGTTTCTAAACATTGTAGAAGGTTTGCAGAAATGATTACAAGAGGTTTCTAGACATTTCCTGACAATTTTCATTGATTGTAAGGATTTTCATTGACAATTATAACAAAAAAAATTACTTACCACTCCCGTATCCGGATCAACAACTTCCGTGTACATATTAATATCCAAATAATATCCACTATCATTCGCGATGCACAACCTAACAACCGTTGTTGAAGAATTCGGAACAGATCTGATAGTCATCTTCAACTCAGCTTGCAAAACCCTCAATTTCCACAACCTCGGCCCATACCGTTTCACCATACTAGTCACAGCCTCCTCAATCTTCGCCGCATCCATAATCACCGTCGGAATAAAATTCAAAAAGATATGATTACAATCGGTCCTCCTCGAATGCGGGTGCGAAAACGCCACCTCCAACTCATCCATCGCTTCCAAAAGAACCCGCTCCCCCTCGTTTTGAAGGTACTCAAACGAAGCCTCCTTCGTAATCAAATCAGAATGCCTAATAATCGATCGGATAAAGAACCGATAATCCGTCACCTCAGACCCAGCCGCAACCGGCTTAGCTTTACCAAGATAAAGATGCATCTTTTGATTACTCGTTGGTAACGCTTCAAGATTGTAACTTCGCATCCGGTTGAGTTCTAATTGGAACGCACAAGCGGGTTCTAAATGCCTATAAATCGTGTCTTCTTTGAACGAATCCCTAGATCGGTACGTAAAGAATTTCGGGAATTGTTTCCGTTTCAACGCGGCGAATGTGATCCTTCTGATACAACGCGAAATTAATTCATCTTTATGCCGCGCGCAAAACGAGCCAAAAATTTTACTCATAGCCGCGTCATCGGCATCACCTTTATCTTTAATCCCAATGTGTAAGATATGAATCGGCTCCAACACCTTTTTATCTTCAACGATCGTCCTCGAACCTTCCACACTAAGACTAACATTAATCGAAGTCGAATTCGTCCTCGATTCTGATCCATCGACCAAAGCATTCAAATCTTTCGCAGAAATCGAAGCGGGGCTTGCGAAATCCTCGATTAAATCGAAAATCTCATCAGCGTATTGCTCGAATTGTTGGAAATTATCAAAAGCGGCCATACATCCGGTTCTTTGGTAACTATCGACGTAGGGGGCGTTGTTTTCGTCGTCTTTATCTTTGTAAGTGTCGAATCGAACCAAACGATTCGGATGACTCGGGGGTAATAAAAATTGGAAATGGACTAAAGGGACTTCCCCGCTTAACTCTAAATGTTGCAAACAAGTTATTTCATAACTCGTATAAGCACGCCTTACATAAACCTCTAAAGCAGCGTTACACACCGCGCGATTAGTGTGGTAAAAAAAATCGTGTAAAATATCAAAAATTGAAGTCTCAGAAACGATTAATTTTTGTAAATTCTCCGGGTGAAATTCATGCCCGTACATATCAACGGCCGACAAAAAAATGCTCTCCATTTGGTTATGTCTCAACTCATAAGCAGGTTGATGCGCCGCGATTAAAACTTGCCTCGCTCTTAATGCAACTCGCGAATGCTCGCTTCGATTTAGCGAAGTTAACTCGTTCAAACTCGCTGCTAACTCATCCGTTAATCCGGGTTCGTTCGCCCATAAATGATCTATCAACATGGTGATTAACATGTTTTTCTTTGCAACTTGTCCGTGGGAAAAAATGGTCGCTGTAACATAAACCATGTCGTCTTTGTGCTTCTCCCGCAACGTTGAAACGCACTTATCGTAATGGCCGTGTTGAAATTGGCTCTCCGCGTTGTAATACTGCTTAAATAAATCGTGAACCGCCGCTTTCATGCGGCCCCGAATTCCGTTGCGGTATCTTTGGACTAATTGGACGATTCCTTCGGTGGCGAGGAAGAAGCCGTCTCGTTCGGTTCTTCGGGACATGCTTGCTGCGTGGCTGTCGATGACGCTGGCGATTTGTTGGCTGGGGAATTGGGCGAGAACGGAGGTTATGTTGCGTTCGTACAGTGACATTAAGCGCCGAATTTTCTTTTCAACAGCCGGGGGAATCCTGCCGGAAATTGAGGCGATTACTTCTTGGAGTTCGAGAAGTGGGAGGGAGGGGTCTCGGAGGCTTGCCATGAATTTTTCGATCACTTCGCGTAATCGCGGGGCGTTGTATGGATCGGGTAAACAATAACCTGAAATTAAAATAATAAACCGTACTATTCAGAGGGAAATTAAAAAAAAAAAAGAAAAATATTGAAAATTTTTTTAAATAAAAATTGTTGCTGATTTAATTTTAATTTTATTTGAAACTTTTTTTAATAATACTAATATTTATTGAGATAACCTCAAAAATATCAATTTTGCTACTAAAGCGCCACCTGGAGGAGATATCGACTCTTTGTATTAACAAAAAAATATTTCAAATCGTATTCTAAATAAACATTCGAATTAGATTTGAAAAAACGATCAACTTTAGTGCATTTTGTTAAGAGTGCAGTTTTTGCTTAAAAAAGTACCGAGAATAAGAATTCTTATTTAAAAACCCAAAAAGTATACTGTCAGAAAAGTTATTGTTATTTTAATCCGCAAAGAATACGTCACAGAGCGCCCTCTACCGGCTATACTAAAACGGACACCATAATCGTCTCTCTTATGCCAAAAAACCTCCTTATAACAAATTTGAATAGAATTGGTTGAAATACACGCGTAATATTAAATAAAAATCAATTTAAAAATTTAATTTGAACACCCTGTATCTCCAAAACAAAACGTTTATCGACCTATGTTTATATGAAGTTTTTGTGTTAATTTTAAAAGATCTATCGACTGTTAAAGTCCTGCTACAAAAACCTGAAACTCCCTGTATAATTTTTTGTACTGTTCAGAGGGAAATGAATAAGATTTTATGAGAGTATACAGCGCCACCTAGGAAAAATATTGAAAAATGGTTCAAATAAAAATTGTTGCTGATTTAATTCTAAACTAATTTTATTTGAAACTTTTTTAATAAAACCAATATTTTTTGAGATAACATCAAAAACATAGGTTTTGATACTAAAGCGCTACCTGGTGGAAATATCGAAACTTTGTAATAACAAAAACTATTTAAAATTGTATTCTAAATAAATGTTATTCCAAATATTTTTCGATAAAAATAATAATTTATCCGATATCGCTTCATATACTTTTTCGTACTGTTCAGAGGGAAACGACGAAGATATTATGAGAGTATACAGCGCCACCTAGCGAAAATATTAAAAAATTTTCCCAATGAAAGTTATTGCTGAATTAATTTTAAACTAATTTTATTTGAAACTCTTTTTAATAAAACCAATATTTATTGAGATAACCTCAAAATACCATTTTTTATGCAAAAGCGCCACCTGGCGGAGATATCGAATATTTGTAATAACAAAAACTATTTAAAATTGCATTCTAAATAAATGTTATTCGAAATATATTTCGATAAAAACAATAATTATTCCGATATGGCTTAATATACTTTTTGGTACTATTCAGAGGGAAATTATGAAGACTTTATGAGAGTATACAGCGTTACCTAGGAAAAATATTAAGAAATGTTTCAAATAAAAATTGTTGCTGATTTAATCCTAATATAATTCTATTTAAAACTTTTTTTAATAAAACCAATATTTATTGAGATAACCTCAAAAATATTAATTTTTATGCTAAAGCGCCACCTGGTGGAAATATCGAATCTTTGTAATAAAAAAAAATATTTCAAATCGTATTTTAAATAAACATTATTCGAAACATTTTTAGATAAAAACAATAATTATTTTGATATGGCTTAATATACTTTTTCGTACTATTCAGAGGGAAATTACGAAGACTTTATGAGAGTATACAGCGTTACCTAGGAAAAATATTAAAAAATGTTTCAAACAAAAATTGTTGCTGTTTTAATTCTAAACTAATTTTATTTGAAACTTTTTTTAATAAAACCAATATTTATTGAGATAACCTCAAAAATATTAATTTTTATACTAAAGCACCACCTAGTGGAGATATCCAATCGTGTTAATAACAAAAACCATTTAAAATCGTATTCTAAATAAATGTTATTCTTAATATACAGGTGTATCAGGTATGAGTAGAAAAAATGTGAGGGGTTATAGGTCCCCTTTTTGTGAATAAAAACTGAATTTAAGTACTGCTGTATACAGAATTATACTAAGCAGGCTTTGTTTATGTATATAGCTTTAATTTGACATATAAAAGTCATTTTTGAGATATTTTTTTAGAGGTTGTTTACTTTATACGAATAAATTTATCACTTCTGTTTTATCACACTTTAATGTGAAAATTTACAAAAATTTTGGTTTTTATAAATAAACTTACTTATTGTATTAAAAACAACAAAATTACAAAACTAAAAACAAATTACAAATTGCAAAGCAACGCCTGCTTAGTATAACTCATTAACCAGTAGTACTCAAACTTGTGAACCCTTAACTTTATCGTATCATATCTTAAGAAGGACAAAGTATGGGACATTGCGTTATAAGAATTTTTTATTCAGAAAGAGGAGACCTATAACCTCTCAAATTTTTTCTACTCATACCTGATACATCCTGTATAATTTTTCGTACTGTACAGAGGGAAATGAAGAAGACTTTATGAGAGAATACAGCGCCACCTAGCAAAAATATTAAAAAATGTTTCAAATAAAAGTTGTTGCTGATTTAATCCTAATATAATTGTATTTGAAACTTTTTTTAAAAAAACCAATATTTATTGAGATAACCTCAAAAATATTAATTTTTATGATAAAGCGCCACCTGGTGGAGATATCGAATCTTTATAATAATAAAAACTATTTCAAATCGTATTCTAAATAAATATTATTCGAAATATTTTTAGATAAAAACAATAATGATTCCGATATGGCTTAATATACAGGGTGATTTATAACATCCGGAGCAGACTGAAGGGGTAGGTACTAGAGGTAAAACTGAAGAGATTTTCTTAATAATGTTTTGTTAGAAACATAATAGTTACATAGATATGGCATGTTAATTTTTTAAATAATTTACCGTCCATTTTTGAGAATCGCTGATATTCAGTAAAGAATAATTAAAATAGCTTAACTTTTAAATAGAATTTTTAAATAGCTGTAACTGCTATATTACAAAGATTTTATTATTTTTGTTCATTATGCATTGTTTAAGTAACCCCAAAATATTCGCAGTTTGAATCTAAACGTAGTGTAATACAGTATTTGATAAGAAATGCTCGACCATTAATTCAACTTTAACGTTCTATATCTTTGTGATTATTAAGTTGTTGTCAAAACATTATTAAGAAAATATCTTCAATTTGGCTCCTAGTACCTTTTAATCTGCTCCGTATATTATAAATCACCCTGCATAATTTTTCGTACTGTTCAGTGGGAAATGAAGAAGACTTTATGAGAGTATACAGCGTCACCTAGCAAAAATATTAAAAAATGTTTCAAATAAAAGTTGTTGCTGATTTAATTCTAAACTAATTTTGTTTAAAACTCTTTTTAATAAAACCAATATTTATTGAGATAACCTCAAAAATATTAATTTTTATACTAAAGCGCCACCTAGTGGAGATATCCAATCTCGTTAATAACAAAAACTATTTCAAATCGTATTTTAAATAAATGTTATTCGAAATATTTCTCGATAAAAACAATAATTATTCCGATATGGCTTAATATATAATTTTTCGTACTGTTCAGAGGGAAATGAAGACTTTATAAGAGAATACAGCGCCACCTAGCAAAAATATTGCAAAATGTTTCAAATAAAAGTTGTTGCTGATTTAAATCAAAACTAATTTTATTTGAAAATTTTTTTAATAAAACCAATATTTATTGAGATAACCTCAAAATATCATTCTTTTGACTGTTTTCAATAAACTTGTGTTCTAAATTTTACTTTTATTAAATAAAAAATGGCGTAAAAACTGACCGAAAAAGAAAGAATCATGAATCTTTTAATTATTCGTGGCTTTGGGGATAGAACAAGATCTTACAATGAAGTGCGGCACGTCTTCAATGATTTTTTTCATCAACGACCATCGATTTCTAAATCAACAGTCGAAAGAACTGTTCGAAGATTTCAAGAAGAGGGAACTGTGAAAGATCTTCCGAGAACTGGTAGACCGAAATCTGCAACAACTCCAGAAAAAACCAAAGAAGTCTTGAACAACCTTCAAGTTCCTTATTAAAAGCGTCTCAGATACATGAAATTGGTAAAAGTTCAGTCCACAGAATTTCAAAAAGAAATAACTATTTCCCCTAGTTCAGGATTATTCTGTGAAATAGTACATGAAAAGTGTGATGTTGACAGAAATTTTCGTTTGGTTATTGTTTTCTCTGATGAAGCTACTTTCTACTTGAATGGTAAGGTTAATAGGCACAATTGTTATTATTGACGTGACGAAAATCCACGTTTAATAAGAAATGATACTCAGAGACCGCAGAAAATTAATGTTCCAAGTGTATGTGAGTGACTAACACCATTTCCTGATCCAACACCACTCGATTTTTTCTTTTGGGGGTTTAAGAAAAGTATCGTAATAAACGTGCAAAAAAACATGAAAACATTTTATTTTCCCATTCGGTAGTTAACCCCTCATAATTCTTGAAAGAATTAAGATATGGGGTTTTGGTTTATAGGGTTGTATTTCTTTTTTCATTACCTTTAAAATACGGTAAAACTCGATAGGGGTTGCTATTTAAAAATGTAGGGGTGGCCACCCCCTAAAAAAACTCCACATTGCGTGGAAGTTCTAAGCTATCTAAGAATGTAGTTTTTATTTCTCTTTAGTGATCCCCAAATTTTAAAATTTTTTTCTTGGCTCGTTCAAAACTTATAGCTCCGCCTCGGGAATTTTGGGAAGCCCTGTATAATTTTTCGTACTGTTCAGAGGGAAATTAAGACTTTATGAGAGAATACAGCGTTACCTAGGAAAAATATTAAAATATGTTTCAAATAAAATTTGTTGCTGATTCAATTCTAAACTAATTTTATTTGAAACTTTTTTTAATAAAACCAATATTTATTGAGATAACCTCAAAAACATAGATTTTGATAATAAAGCGCCACCTGTTGGAAATATCGAAACTTTGTAATAACAAAATATATTTAAAATCATATTCTAAATAAATGTTATTCCAAATATTTTTCGATAAAAACAATAATTATTTCGATATGACTTAATATGTAATTTATGGTACTGTTCAGAGGGAAATGAAGAAAAATATTAAAAAATGTTTCAAATAAAAATTGTTGCTGATTCAATTTTAAATCAATTTCATTTGAAACTTTTTTTAATAAAGCCAATATTTATGGAGATAACCTCAAAAATATCAATTTTATTCTAAACAGCGCCACCTGGTGGAGATATCGGAACTTTGTAATAACAAAAATTGTTTCAAAACGTATTCTAAATAAATGTTATTTGAAATGTTTTTGGATAAAAACAATAATTATTATTCTGATATGGCTTAATATACAGGGTGAGTCAGAAAGAATGGGAAATCGGAATACGGGAGACACTAGACACCAAAATATGACGATTTAACCTAATATCTCTTATACAAATGTTGTCGGTGGGTTTCAAGACACAGGGTGTTGAAAGTTAAATTCTTATTTCGAAATTTCTTGATAATTTTGAAGCATTTTGTACTATTAACATAAAATTTGGTAATTATATGTTTTCGAGCATGAGAAATACGAATTTGAAACTTGCTTTGTTATTGCTCGTAGAGGGCGCTAGATACACACTGCTCTGATAAATCGAATTATAAGTTTTTTGGCTGTTTGATCCGTATATTATAAATCACCCTGTATAATTTTTCGTACTGTTCAGAGGGAAATGAAGAAGACTTTATGAGAGTATACAGCATCACCTAGCAAAAATATTAAAAAATGTTTCAAATGAAAATTGTTGCTGATTTAATTCTAAACTAATTTTATTTGAAACTTTTTATAATAAAACCAATATTTATTGAGATAACCTCAAAATACAAATTTTTATGCAAAAGCGCCATCTGGCGGAGATACCGAATATTTGTAATAACAAAAACTATTTAAAATTGTATTCTAAGTAAATGTTATTCGAAATATTTTTCGATAAAAACGATAAATATTCCAATATGGCTTAATATACTTTTTCATACTGTTCAGAGGGAAATGAAGAAGACTTTATTTGAGAAAACAGCGCCACCTAGCAAAAATATTAAAAAATGTTCCGAATGAAAGTTGTTGCTAATTTAATTCTAAACTAATTTTATTTGAAATTTTTTTTAATAAAACTAACATTTATTGAGATAACCTCAAAAATATCAACTTTTATGCTAAAGCGCCACCTGGTGGAGATATCGAATCTTTGTAATAATAGAAAATATTTTAAATCGTATTTTAAATAAACATTATTCGAAACATTTTTCGATAAAAACAATAAATATTCCGATATGGCTTAATATACTTTTTCGTACTATTCAGAGGGAAATTACGAAGACTTTATGAGAGTATACAGCGTTACCTAGGAAAAATATTAAAAAATGTTTCAAACAAAAGTTGTTGCTGATTTAATTCTAAACCAATTTTATTTGAAACTCTTTTTAACAAAACCCATATTTATGAAGATAACCTCAAAATATCAATATTTTATTCTAAACAGCGCCTCCTGGTGGAGATATCGAAACATTGTAATAACAAAAATTACTTCAAAACGTATTCTAAATAAATGTTATTCGAAATATTTTTCGATAAAAACAATAATTATTCCGATATGGGTTAATATACAGGTGTGTGAAATGTCTGGAATATAGCCAATAACTTCTTTATTAATCATGACACATTTTTTGGCGATAATTGCTTGTTTGTATTGTTTTTTGTTTCGTTGCTATGGCAACCAACATTGTTAGTTTAAATGAGATGCATATATTTTTTTTGCATACTTTGATAGAGCAGAAATCCCTCTATGCGTGAACATATCATATCATATGGTTGTATAAGAAAAAAATCGAGAAAAAAGCGTTTTTTGAAAGTCTTAAATCAGCTAATTACAATCAAAGTAGGTGCCGAAATAACGCCGTTGACAGCTTTCAATGTCAAAAAAAATACAGTTTCAACAATTATGAATAATTAATAATGTATGGTGGTTTTTGAAAGGTGTTTAACGCTTCCGATGTTAAAATTTTTTTTAAAATTTTGTATACTGTGGATTGTGTAACTTGTGATTGAACAGTGTGCAAACTTCACTTTGAGTGAGTTTTCTATCACCTGCACCATACCCATACATTATTAATATTTGGATTCTTTATCGTTTGCTTAATTGCGCCATATTTGTTTAAACTGTCAATTTTTTGATATTTAAAGCTGTCAATGGAGTTATTTTGTCGCCTACTTTGATTGTAATTTGCTGATTTAATATTTTCAGACGCATTTTTTCTCGATTTTTTTCTAATACAACCATATGATTCATCGATATGTTCATCGCGTAGAGGGATTTATCCTTTATTAAAATGTGCAAAAAAAACATATATTAGCATCCCATTTAAAATAACAATGTTGGTTGCCATAGCAACGAAACAAAGAGCGATGTAAACAAGCAGGTATCGCCAACAATTAATAAAGAATTTTTTATTTGAAACATTTTTCTTTAAAACCACAAATGGCGAAATTATTGGCTATATTCCAGACATTTGACACACCTGTATAATTTATCGTACTGTTCAGAGGGAAATGAAGAAGACTTTATGTTATTATACAGCGCTATCTACCAAAAATATTAAAAAATGTTTCAAATAAACGTTGTTGCTGATTTAATTCTAAACTAATTTTATTTGAAACTTTTTTTAATAAAACCAATATTTATTGAGATAATCTCAAAAATATCAATTTTTATACTAAAGCGCCACCTGGTGGAGATATCCAATCTTGTTAATAACAAAAACTATTTCAAATCGTATTTTAAATAAATGTTATTCGAAATATTTCTCGATAAAAACAATAATTATTCAGATGTGGCTTAATATATTTTTTCGTACTGTTCAGAGGGAAATTAAGAAGACTTTATAAGAGAATACAGCGCCACCTAGCAAAAATATTGCAACATTTTTCAAATAAAAGTTGTTGCTGATTTAATTCTAAACTAATTTTATTTGAAACTTTTTTTAATAAAACCAATATTTATTGAGATAACCTCAAAAATATCAATTTTTATATTAAAGCGCCACCTAGTGGAAATAACCAACCTTGTTAAAAACAAAAACTATTTCAAATCGTATTTTAAATAAATGATTCAAAATATCTGTCAATAAAAACAATAATTATTCCGACATGGCTCAATATACAGGGTGTGTCAAATGTCTGGAATATAGCTAATAATTTCGCCATGTGTGATTTTAAAGAAAAATGTTCCAAATAAAAAATTCTTTATTATTTGTGGCGCATTTTTTGGCGATAAGTATCTGCTTATGTACATTGTTTTTTGTTTTGTTGCTATGACAACCAACATTGTTATTTTAAATGGGATGCATTTTTTTTTGCATATTTTGATAGATGATAAATCCCTCTACGTGATGAATATATCAAATCATATGGTTGTATAAGAAAAAAATGCGTTCTCTGAAAATATGGAATCAGCAAATTGTAATCAAAGTAGGCGCCGAAATGACGCCGTTGACAGCTTTAAATGTCAAAAAATTACAGTTTAAACAAATATGATGCAATTCAGCGAACGACAAAGTAAAGTTTGTACACTGTTTAATAATATTAATACAAATTACACAATCCACATGTATCCAAAATATTAAAAAAAAATCTTTAACACCGAAACTGTTAAAAACCTTCCAAAAAGTGGATAGCTAAAGACAGCTACCAATGACGAAACTACATTAAATCTGTCACCGTATCCATACATTATTAATTATTCATAATTGTTTAAACTGTCATTTTCTTGGCATTTAAAGCTGTCAACGGCGTTATTGCGGCGCCTACTTTGATTGTAATGTGCTAATTTAACATTTTAAGAAAACGCATTTTTTTCAATTTTTTTCTTATACAACCATGTGATTTGATATGTTCATCGCATAGAAGAATTTATCATCTATCAAAGTATGCAAAAAATATATATGCATCCCATTTAAAATAACAATGTTGGTTGCCATAGCAACGAAACAGAAAACAATACAAACAAGTAAACAACGCCAAAAAATGCGCCACGATTAATAAAGAAACTTGTATTTGAAACATTTTTCTTTAAAACCACAAACGGCGAAGTTATTGGCTATATTCCAGACATTTGACACACCCTGTATAATTTTTCGTACTATTCAGAGGGAAATGACAAAGACTTTATGAGAGTATACAGCGCCACCTAGCAAAAATATTAAAAAATGTTTCAAATAAAAGTTGTTGCTGATTTAATTCTAAACTAATTTTATTTGAAGCTTTTTTTAATAAAACCAATATTTACTAAAATAACCTCAAAAATTAATTACCTGCCAAAGTATTCTCCAAAATCGCTTTATAATTATTGTGAATATGATTCAACTTTTGCGATCCAACAGGATGCGTCACATCCAACTCGGGAAACGGTCCTTTATAAGGTTGCGCCTTCGTAACCAACCCAGAATCATCCAACTCCAACATCGCAATAATTGACCCCGCGTCCAAAACAGCACCCGGCCGCTTAACATACGAAACATTCCCCGCTTCCCCCGCCGTTAAAGTCATCACCATCTTCATAACTTCAATCTCAGCGTAGGGTTGCCCCCGAAAAACATGCCCCCCATCCTCAACAAGAAACGAAATCAATTTTCCCGCGGATGGGGATCTCAACAACGTTGGGTCATTTTCTTTTTCAAAGACACAAGTTTGATTACCAATTACAATCCGATAACGATCAACTTCTTCTTTCATGTAGGTTGTGAATGAGGCGCCATCAACCGAGAGTAAAATCCCCCCATCGCTGAGCCGATGCAATTCGATTTCTTTAAACGACCCGTTCATCACTAAAAAGTAAGAATTTGGACCACTCTTTGTAGCTTGAACTTTATATTTATGCCCCCCGTTTATTAATTCAACATCAACAATGTTATTTAAAGTATTCGATCCTTGAACTTGCCCCCTTTCTAGGGAAGTTTGGAATTCGTGGAACGCCGTGGAAATTGTTTTATCCGCAATATGAAGGGAGCCGCAAATCACCCCCAACATCACATCCGGTTTTTCCGATTGTACCCTTTCGGAAATCAAAATGTCCAACCAAGCGGTGTCTATGGTGTTTTCTTGGAAACTTTTCGTCTCTAATAATGTTATTAAATATTCGACGGTTGTACGAAAATCGCCTCGAATCGATAACTCTTTTAACGCGATTACTAAATTTTCGCGAGCTTGCTCGCGATTTTCCCCCCACGAGAAACAATGCCCAAATTGAGAATCGGCGAATTCGTGTAAACCCCCGGAAGCCGCTACGGAGAAGTACCCCCAAACGTTTTTCGACGATCGAAAATTTAATTCTTGAACAGTCCCCGAACTCGGCTTAAACCCCTCATCGGGATTTTCCGAGGTTATCCGAGCCGCGATTACGTGCCCCCAAGGTTGCGGCTTATGCTTTGGAGTATCAAAATCGATTTCTGTCATTCCCCACGGTGATTCCCCGTACAATAACCGAATATCTTTGATGTAATGCAACGGGAGCCCCATCGCAATTTGCAATTGGGCCGCTGGTAAATTTACGTCCGACACCATTTCCGTGCAGGGGTGCTCAACTTGAAGTCGAGGATTTAATTCCAAGAAATAATAATGCCCCGATGTGTCGTATAAATACTCGACGGTTCCCGCGGAAACGTATCCCACCATTTTGGCTAATCTAACAGCGGCTCTTTCCATGTCTTCGAAAACTGCGGGTTCCGCAATCACAGCGGGGGCTTCCTCGATGATTTTTTGGTGCCGCCGTTGGATGGAACAATCCCTTCCGAATAAGGATATTGCGTTTCCGTATTGATCGGCCAATAATTGCACTTCGAGATGTCGCGCGCATTTCGCTAGTTTCATTACGAAAATCGGCGAACCTGGAACTTCCGCTTGAACTTGCCTAAACGCGCCGGGAAAATCGTCTTGGTTATCCACCTTTCGAATTCCTTTCCCCCCACCACCTTCTGAGGCTTTAATCATAACGGGAAATCCAATTTTTTGAGCAGCCGCCAACCCCTGCTCTGGCGAATGAACGCAACCCCTCGCAAACAACTCGGATGAAATTTTAATTTTTTTCCCGGTGTATTGAGCTTTCAATTCCGATCCAGACCAGGGTAAAGTGGGAATTTCGGCCGTTTGGGCGACTATCGAGGAGGCAATTTTATCACCTAACGCCCACATCGCCTTCTCCGGGGGGCCGATAAAAGCGATGTTGTTCTTGTGTAATAACTCGGGGAGTTTTGGGTTCTCCGAGGCGTGACCCCATCCGGCCCAAACGGCTTGGACTTGGCAGCGAATTGCGATGTCGATGATGAGTTCGACGTTCGCGTAATTGTTGTTGTTGGTGCCCCCTGGGACCGGGACGTAATGGTCCGCCATTTTTATGTATTCGGCGTTCGCTTTTAGATCTTCTGGGGTTACCATTACCACGAATCTTACGGCCCTTTCGTTTTTGAACATCTCGTACGACCATCTTCGCACGGATCGCATACATTTTACAGCTGCTATTCCGTTGTTTGCTATTAAAACCTAAAAATAAAAAGAAATATATATAAAATATATATACTATTATACAGGACTGCTAATTTTGTCAAACGGCCAGTATTTTCGTGAAAGTCTCTTACAAAACTTTGATTAAAGCAACAGTTTTTGATTGAATTAACAAATTTTGTACAAACGTGTTTTTCTTAAAAACTATTGCTTTGACCAAAGTTTTTTAAGAGACCAATTGATAGATAATTGATCACTTTACAAGCGTAGAGAGCAATGGCGTAGACAATATTTTAAAAAAACTGCTTTTTATAGCAGATAATGTTTTGCCCTACAAGTCTGTCAGCGGTTTTTTGAATCACCCTGTATATATTATATAATATAAATGAATCCGAAGAATGATCCTAGTTCTAGCTATAGTGTTAGTTTTAGTTTTACACTTGCACTGTCACTGGAACTAACATTAGACCTAGAACTAGAAACATTTGGGTTTAGCCGTACGTCTGTTAAGACGGCAAAACTAGAATGACTCTAGTTCTTGGTCTAGCGCTGCATAATAATGAAAACTAGAACTAACACTAGACCTAGAACTAGAATGTTTCGGCTTTAGCCGTGCGTCTGAAGACACTTTTTGAAGACACTGTCTGAAGACGCACGGTTAAACCCGAAACTTTCTAGTTCTAGGTCTAGTGTTAGTTCTAGTTTTACGCTAGCACTGTTACTATATAAAATTTACACTATACCTAGAAGTAGAATCATTTGGGTTTAATCTTTAATTTTAACATAAACTTCACCGTAGTGATTGAAAATACTTTAATTTGATGACAAAACATGATGTTTTTCAATAAAAACTAAAAATATTAGAGATACATAGAGATATCTATCTCAAATTTTTGAGATATATTCGAGATATTGACGGAAATATATCGAATTTAGGTTCATTTTGAAGTATTATTAATAATTATACTGATAAATTCGATTTGTAGGTACCGATTTGATAACCTATAATTAATATTTTCAAATATCTTAAGAATCTAAGGATATTTATTTATGAATTCACTAATAAATTAGTAATCGTGATTAAAAAGGCTTTAATTTGATACCAAACTCGATTTAAATCAATCAAAAACTAAAAAAATAGAGATATATAGAAATAAGTATCTCCAATTTGTGAGATATATCCAAAAATATATCCAAATTATGATCATTTCCAAAGTATTTTTGATTATTACAACGATAAATTAGAATTGAAGGTGATATTTCATAAATTTTAATTAAAAAATTTGACATATCTCAAAAATCAAAGATATTTAGCATAACACTTTAATTTGATGACAAAACATGATGTTTTTCAATATAAACTAAAAATATTAGAGATTCATAGAGATACATCTCAAATTTTTGAAATATATTCGCAATATTGACGGAAATATATCGAGTTTAGATTTATTTTGAAGTACTATTAATAATTATAGTGACAAATTCGATTTGTAGGTACCATTTGATAACCTTTAATTAAGATTTTCAAATATCTTAAGAATCTAAGGATACTTATTTATGATTTCACTACTAAATTAGTAATCGTGATTAAAAATGCTTCAATTTGATACCAAACTCGATTTAAATCAAACAAAAACTAAAAAAATAGAGATATATAGAAATAAGTATCTCCAATTTTTGAGATATATAGAAAAATATATCCAAATTATAATTATTTCCGAAGTATTTTTGATTATTACAACGATAAATTTGAATTGAAGGTGATATTTGATAACTTTTAATTAAAAAATTTGACATATCTCAAAAATCCAAAAATATTTAGCTTTAATTTTAATATAAACTTTATCGTAGTGATTGAAAATACTTTAATTTGATGACAAAACATGATGTTTTTCAATATAAACTAAAAATATTAGAGATTCATAGAGATACATCTCAAATTTTTGAGATATAATCGTAATATTGACGGAAATATATCGAGTTTAGATTTATTTTGAAGTATTATTAACAATTTTATTGACAAATTAGATTTGTAGATACCATTTGATAACCTTCAATTAATATTTTCAAATATCTTAAGAATCTAAGGATATTTATTTATGAATTCACTACTAAATTAGTAATCGTGATTAAAAATGGTTTAATTTGATACCAAACTCGATTTAAATCAAACAAAAACTAAAAAAATAGAGATATATAGAAATAAGTATCTCCAATTTTTGAGATATATCCAAAAATATATCCAAATTATGATTATTTCCGAAGTATTTTTGATTATTACAACGATAAATTAGAATTGAAGGTGATATTTGATAAATTTTAATTAAAAAATTTGACATATCTAAAAAATCCAAAGATATTTAGCTATAATTTAGCATAACACTTTAATTTGATGACAAAACATGATGTTTTTCAATATAAACTAAAAATATTAGATTCGTAGAGATACATCTCAAATTTTTAAGATATATTCGCAATATTGACGGAAATATATCGAGTTTAGATTTATTTTGAAGTATTATTAAAAATTATACTGACAAATTCGATTTGTAGGTACCATTTGATAACCTTTAATTAATATTTTCAAATATCTTAAGAATCTAAGGATACTTATTTATGAATTCACTACTAAATTAGTAATCATGATTAAAAATGCGTTAATTTGATACCAAACTCGATTTAAATCAAACAAAAACTAAAATATAGAAATATATAGAAATAAGTATCTCCAATTTTTGAGATATATCCAAAAATATATCCAAATTATGATTATTTCCGAAGTATTTTTGATTATTACAACGATAAATTAGAATTGAGGTTAATATTTGATAAATTTTAATTAAAAAATTTGACATATCTCAAAAATCCAAAGATATTTAGTTTTAATTTTAACATAAACTTCACCGTAGTGATTGAAAATACATGAATTTGATGACAAAACATGATGTTTTTCAATATAAACTAAAAATATTAGAGATTCATAGAGATATATATCAAATTGTTGAGATATATTCGCAATATTGACGGAAATATATCGAGTTTAGATTCGTTTTGAACTATTATTAATAATTATACTGACAAATTGGATTTGTAGATACCATTTAATAACCTTTAATTAATATTTTCAAATATCTTAAGAATCTAAGGATATTTATTTATGAATTCACCACTAAATTAGTTATCGTGATTAAAAATGCTTTAATTTGATACCAAATTCGATTAAAATCAAACAAAAACTAAAAAAAATATAGATATATAGAAATAAGTATCTCCAATTTTTGAGATATATCCAAATTATGATTATTTCAGAAGTATTTTTGATTATTACAACGATAAATTAGAATTGAAGGTGATATTTGATAAATTTTAATTAAAAAATTTGACATATCTCAAAAATCCAAAGATATTTAACTTTCATTTTAACATCACTTCACCGTAGTGATTGAAAATAATTTAATTTGATAACAAAACATGATGTTTTTCAATATAAATTAAAAATATTAGAGATTCATAGAAATACATCTCAAATTTTTGAGATATATTCGCAATATTGACGGAAATATATCGAGTTTAGATTTATTTTGAAGTATTATTATTAATAATTATACTAACAAATTGGATTTGTAGATACCATTTGATAACCTTTAATTAATATTTTCAAATATCTTAAGAATCTAAGAATATTTATTCATGAATTCACTACTAAATTAGGAATCGTGATTAAAAATGCTTTAATTTGATACCAAACTCGATTTAAATCAAACGAAAACTAAAAAAATAGATATACAGTGTGTCCCAGGATAGATGTTATAAGAGATATAATGACTTAAAAATTTTTGAATTTTATCTTAAGGCTGAGGAATTAAGCCCTGCTTGGTGCGGAGAGAATTTTAAGTATATTTTCATATTCTGAAAATCAACTCGGCCTTGATAGTGAAGAGTAAACTATTTTTCGTTCAAGTAAAGTAACCTTTTTGTTCATGATACTGAAAAATTTTATTATGAAAAGTTGTTCAAAATGTGAAATTATGTTCCTATGCAAAATTTCAGAAAGATCTATCTACTTTGGTTGAACCATCAGATTTTAGTTTAAATAACATAAATATTGTATAATTTTATTTTATTTATAGAAAATCGAACGTAAACTTAACTGTCGTTTATTCAACATAACATCCACCTTTTGTTGCACACTTTTCTATACGATGCCTAAATTCTCTAAAGCTGTTCTGAATTTTTTCGATGTGTATTTGTCGTATAGCATTTGTTATCCGTTCTTTTAATATTTTTCGATTGTTCGGTTTTGGTTGAGCGAAAACTAGTTGTTTAAGGGGACCCCATGAAAGAAATTTAGTATTGTAAGGTCGGGAGACCTTCGAGGCCACGCAATTGGACCATTTCTAGATATAATCTTTTCTCGAAATATTAAATTTAACCATTCAGCTACACGTGCTGTAGAATGTGCAGAGCATCCATCGTGTTGGAAGTAAATTGCCTGTCTTTCTATCAGTAAAAAAAATTCTTATCTAAAATATAGTGGTTTAATCAATGTAGGTAGATCTTTCTGAAATTTTGCA